TTCATTAGTCCTGCTGCTTGTAAAATATGTTGGTTTTAATTTACAGTAAACTTATGCAAGATGATACCAAAATTTGCCAAAATCCATGTTTTGTTATTTATTAACAGTGATTTGCAATTTACTGTATGCTTTGTCATTATTTTGAGGAGACTCCCGTGTTTTTTTTGATCTAAAAGTGTGCTCACTTACTTAGCTGTGCAGTTTGGAGGTACAATTCAAACCCTGTTCTTTGGTCCATTCCAGTGGGTTTATGCCATGATTTTATTGAAGCCTCTATAATATGTGTTAAAAAGACAAGCTAAATATATTTGAAACCAGCATGCCAAGTAAAATGTGGGGAGGGCAATTTTTGCCTTGGAGAGGGGAGGCCTGCCTTTTTTATGTAATGAAACAATTCGGAAACATTCATAAAACATACTCCATGCTGCAGGTGGACTTTGAATTCGTGCTCCACAGACTAGAAGCTAATGATAACTCATGGTAAACCATCAGAATTACCTGATCTATGTGTGAGGTTGGAGGTGGGGGAAGAACTGGTAGCTGCACACCATCTAGGGCAGATTATGACCTCCTAACCAGTTTCTAAACTCTCTTCCCCTTTTATGCTGCTCAGAACAGTCGTCTTTTTCTTGTAAATGAGGTCTTCTACAATGGAGACTGCTGGCTGAGAGTCTGAATTAAGAGCATAGGAGGAAAGACAAAGGAGCAAAGCCTGTTTAATTAGGATGAAAGATACTCCCCCCACTCAATCCTCCAATCCCAGTTTAGCAGAGCATTGGGGTTGTTAGCACTGAAAGGTCTGACTTGCTGACATGGGTAAATGCAATGCTCAGCAGATGAAGTCATGCATAATTAATTGTTCTTTGTTGCATTCTTTCCAATATAATGACTTGTAGCACTCACACTTCTAATAATTGATGTTTCTGTGTGCTGGAGCTTCAGGACAGCCAATTATGGCAGTGGAGGTGGTAGCTGTGCAGCATCTCTAGCATCTGTGTGTACCAACATGTGGGCTATAACTTTTTTCTTTCTTTATTTGTTTTTAGTGCCTAAAACAGTATGTACAGCTGTCAATTCAGGAAGGTTGTGGATCTCCTATCACATGTCCAGACATGGTATGCTTGAACCATGGGACCCTACAAGAAGAAGAGGTATCAATGCTTTTTTCTCTCTTTTTTTTAACATAACCCCCCCAATCTTCTTTATACCTACATAATGAATATGATCATAAACTTTTTCCTCCCTTTAATTACCTTTAATGAGCTTTTGGCAAGAAGCCTGACTGACAAGAGGAACTAGAAACAAACAGATGTTTTTCAAGGGTTTTACTCCTTTTTCCCTCCCTTTGTGCCTTGAGGAAAGGCTTACTTGGCATCCTGACAACCTCTGAATTACCCATGCAGGTGACTTAACCAGAATACCCTGTACCCCAGAATTGCTGAGCCTCCATTACTGTTGTCAGTTAAATCAGATTTGATTTGACTGCAAACACTGTAATTCTTGCGCCTCTCTTAACTCAAGAGCAAGAACTCAAACTGATGGTACGCAAGGCCAGAATTTCTTAATGTGTGCTTATATGGGGCTGCAACAACCAGTTTGAAGTCCAATATAACATCCAAGACTCTGTATAGTTATGTAGAAAGAAAGGTAACTGCACAGCACTGGGTGGAAGTAGGTCTTAGGAGATTTGAGAAGTGTCGTCACGCCCAAGGCAGATATGGGACAGGTTGAGAGCTCAGAAGCTAAATGAGGTTTAAGTAGATCTGTTTGCACATCAGAGACATGCATAATCTTCAGTGTAACTGGAAGATTCAGTTTCAAAGTTGGAGGTGGAGAAACTGCAGGGGAAAATGTACTGTTCAGACCTTCTTGCACCACTTGAGACAACAGGGCACAAGGGAGTTGTAGATAGCCCCTAACAGGCTGCCTGATGACTTCCCACCAATGTTCAGCCTCCTGCCTGACTGAAGGCTGGTGTAAAGTTTCTCAGTTGGGTTTAGCACCAAACCCATGACATGGGGAGGAGCTATTGGCAGTGTGGCTGGAACCCTAGTAGGTGCCAGCTGTTCTGTGCATCTAGAAGGCCACAGAAGAACTGTGGACAAATCTGACGTTGCCCTGCGGCTATTATTGCATGCTTGCTTTGTGAGCCAGGTAGGTGCCTGCTGGGGCTGACAATACATGCAGGAAGAAAACCCACCTTTTTTTCCACCAGGAAAAAAAAGGTGGCTAAGGGATTGTAGCTGTTTTTGTGCATTCTCTCTGCATTTGCTTGCAGGGACAAAATTAAAGAGAATCAGATCTCCATCCCTGAACTGAAGAAAAGCAGTTTATCTTCTTGGTTCCCTTGAGCCCTGTGACTACAGGTGACATAACTGTGGTAGAAGTATATAATCCTATTAAAATGCAATCACGGGCAGTGAAATTCCCAATACCAAAAATGCCTTTTGTTGCAGAAAAAAATCATGATCTCCTCTCCAGCATACCTTTGAAACACCATGCTCAGCTGAATCAGGGCCTGGGAGTTGCAGCTATGTTTGTCATGACGTGCTGGGTTATGGTGGGGCTTTTTTTTGGCTGAATCCAGCTATTGTGGAAAGTAGCCACCTGTTTCCCTTCCTCCTTTCTTCTGTGTAGATATGGAGAGGGCATAGCAATGTCCCTCCCACCCATCCCACCAGGTTGGAGGTTTAGTCTTGAAAATGTGTTTTTTAAAGAAAATTAACAAATGGTAGGAAGAATTCTGCTCTGTTAAGCTAGCGTTATGATGCTATAGGAATTATAGAGATATATTTCTCCTTAGTAAAGCAGGAAAAAACTCTAGGGCAGGTATTAATGGACCATTAGCTTAATCCTAGGGTGCTTTTTGGGCTAAAGACAGAATGACTAAACAGCCCAAATGTGCATTAGTATCTCGTGGATGAATGAATGTTCTGACACTTCCTTTTGGCAATGTGCTTGAAACACAGACCTTCCACTTGAAAAGCAAACAGGCACCCAACCTCGTCAAAATGAACTGCTTACGTATTTTACCAAAACCCTTTCTTTAAGGAAGAAACCCCCCACAAAGCCCCAGGAATGATAGAAAGTATAGATTGTCTTTGTTAATAATCTGAAAATTTAGTATGTAAACTTCAGAATATGTATGAGCACTCTGTATTCTGTATTGGTTGTTTTTTCACCTTTGTGTTAGCATCAGAGTGTTGAAAAAGTACTTTTCATGTCATGTCCATTTCAGACTCTGCTGTGACCAATGTTTACCAGGTACTGTTACAGTTTGGAGAAAAATATAGCAGTTCAAACTGTCTTTGTCATGGACATAGTGTTAAGTTGGTTCCTAAACTTTGGGCTGAATTGTGTCTAATTATGTTAGCTAATGTTTGGGGTTTTTTTTTTTTTGCTTTTTAAATGCCTTTTGCCCTAGTCTGCAAAGGTGAGTTTAGGCATAATTTGAAGTGAAGGAAAGCCTTTTCATTGACTTTGGTGTATTTTGGATTGAGCTCAATTCAGTAAGGAAACTGAACAATTAATAACAAATCTTATAAGCAATTTATAACACGTTATAGCTATGAAAGTTCCTCTACCTCCCTCTCTCAAGGTTCTTATTCATGCTGTATAGGAAATTCAGGCTTTACATCTGGTCTTTGTGCCTCTTTGGACCTGAGAAGGAAATGTTCCAGGTTTTTATTCTTAAAAGAACTTAAAATGAGGAGTCATTTGAACTAGAAAATGTACTTTTCAGTACTTTGAAAATGTGTTTCCTGAAACCCCTCTGTTTGGTTGTGGGTTTGGTTTTTTTTTTTGTTTTGTTTTGTTTTGTTTTGTTTTGTTTTGTTTTTTACTTTAACAAAATCCAGTTGAAACTAGTACATTCCTCAGCAGTTCTTTTTTGTTTTGACAATAGTGCATTCAAACAGAAGGAACTGTTCCACTGGAGTGCTCAGATCTTGACCTGTTACATCAAGATAGCAGCTGCTTGTATTATAGCTGGTTTTAAGTAGAAATAAATGGGTGTTGGTGGTGGGAAGGCAATGATTTTGGCTACAGACTCTGTTTCAAATAGCTGGTTACACAAGAAAAAGGAAGTTTAAAAGCAATCTCATTAAACAAGATGTTTGTTCTTTCAAGCTCTAATAGTATGATAAACAATGATGATTTGGATTCCTTCCTGGCAGCAGAAGGTAGAAGGAACATCTTATGTTACAGCAGTTCTTTTTAACCGTGCAGACTTCTGTCTAGAATATTCCTGTCTCTCTTGGGAATTTGCTCCATTGATGTAATTGGACCAGTTAATATTCCTAATCTAAATAAGGGGTAATTTATCATGGTTTGAAATGGTTTTGTTTGGTGCAAATCCAATCACCATTGTAAGCTATGAGTCAGGGTAAGTCTCAACTGCATACAGGGATTTCTAATGCAGTACTCACTTGGATAGTGTCTGGGGGATTGTGCTTTGCTCTTTCTGATTCCTGTGTTGTTTTGAAGCTTGTAGCATTAGTGCCAATGATCCATGTATACACAATCTGATCTGGATTAAAATCATGCAGCAGGCAGTAAAGGAATTACTGATTTGGGCTCTCCTTTTGCGTCTTTTGAGAATTACCCCTTTGCATGCAGTGCAGATTCTGCTTATTGTCCCTCCATCTGTGTAGACTATGATCTACACTAATACTAACCTGATAGAGGGTTGTCAGCACTTTGTAAAGTGATGTTGAAATGGGACAGTGACCCAGATCTTAGAATTCTTAATTACGTCATATTCCATACACAGCTGAACAAAAATCATATTGGGGGTAAGTTTAAAATAACAGTTTTATTTTTAAACTGAAAATTGGTTTACAATTTGCTAGGGGCGATTGAAATGGTAAAATGAAGAGGAGGATGAGAAAATGTTGCAGGCCCACCTGTCTTTTTCAGGGTCAAAATGACAATTTTGGTTCTTCTTATTTACTCATTTCTAAATAAATCCAAGGGGAGCAAATGGGAGAGTCTTAAATTTGTTTTTATTTGCCACTGCATAAGAGAAGAGCTCCTTAATGGAGAAAATGAATAATTTAATAGTTCATGATGACTTTAGTGAGCATGGTAACTGATGAAGAAAGGTGTGGGTGTAATTTCTAACAGTGAAGAGCCTGAACTCCCATACCCCTTTCAAAAGCAGACCACAGCCCAAGTTAAAACTATTTTGCACTCCTCGCAAAGCCAGACAGTGCCCATGTGAGTGGGACTTTCTCAGAGTTGGGCAATGCAACCCTTTGCAAACAGCCATTGCTGCTGCCAGTGCAGGATCTGCCCTTGTTGTGTATGTGCTAAAGTAAGAAAGGGAGAAGCACTTGTCCTGGTGAACTTCCCTCCCTTGACATTATCAAGGTTTGATTCATATGGGTGTGAAAGGAAGTAAGAACTGTTTTCTTGATTGCCTCCTTGCATCTCCCTTGAAAGCCTGAGAATAGGTGGAGCAGTGATTTTCCCTTTCCACTGTGGTAGCCAGCGTTTGAAAACATGGGAGTTGTTCTTCCGTGGCTCCTGGTTACTGCACTGCCTGGGTTACAAGGAACAGTCTGCCCCTGTGTAGACTGAACCCAATTATTTCAAATGCTTTAATTTTCTTTCCTTTGCTTTTTTGTCTTGCATAGTAACAGGGCCCTGGTTATCGCACCACATTGGGCAGTCTTTTTGGGCACTTGGCAAAGGTTCAGCTGGAGCCTTTTGTGGTAGTGAGCCTTCAAAATTTTGCGTATTTCCATGGATATTTTTACTTCAGGTGAAAGCTGCTGCTGTTAGCGAGAGCCCTTACATGTTCTTGTGCTCTATAACAAGGGTATTTTAACTGCAGATGTTGCTTACAGGGTATGGAAAACCAGAAAACCTACTTCAACTCACAGCAGCCTGCTAAGTCACAAATCAACATCTTTTCAGGAGAAGAGAGTCCTTGCCTCTCATTTTCTTCATGGGCTTTTCTTGTAACCTTAACCCAGCGTTGAAAGATAAAATAAAATAAAATGAAATAAAATAAAATAAAATAACTAAAAACTTGTCCTGTAGCATTTCTGTCTACATTGAATGATTTCATAGTCTAGAATAAGAAATGTCTGCTTTCAGATGTGCTCATGGTCTTTCTCTCCTAGCCCTTTGCCATCTGCTGGGTTGGTGGTTTGCTTCATCCCCAGATCTCCATCTTCTGTCCAGCCCAGAAGTGTGTGTGGCTGTGCAGAAGAGAAGGTGTTTGGGATGGACTCCTGTGTGGGGCTGGAGAAGTTGTGTGAAGATGAACATTTAGATTCTGGTGCCAAGTAGGAGGAGATAAACACATAATCCCCTTACCATGCTTACGGCTGTCCTCCTCAGTTAAGCATAAATGAGATTAAAAGTTCACACAGGAAAGGATTTGCTAGGGTTTTTTGGGACCTGATACTCATGTTTCTTTTTTTGTTTTCAGTTGAGTTTGCACGTATAGCTTTGGTGCATCCCTGAATTCAGGCAGCAGCAGATTGTGCGTGTCCTCTTGCCTAAAGATATTATACCTGTGAGAGGCTTTGGCTCAGCACCTCTCAACCTGATCTCCACGTGGGTGCTAGTGGGAGCTGGTCTTTCAAAGCTGGGGGGGTCAGTAGCAGCAGTGTGTGTTCAACACCCGGAGCTGTATGCAGGGATGGGGGACCTGAACTGTGAAGAGGGTATGTAGGAAGAAGACTGGGGTTGGGTGAAAACGGTGGGAAAGGCTGGCATGGTAAAATCAGGTCTCCAGTTGGAGAAAGGGAAGCTTTCAGCACTGACTCTGCTTCCTATTGAAATCTGCAATGAAACTCCTAACTCCACTCTCACTGTAATCAAAAAGGCTGATTTTAATGCATGGGAAGTTCTGGGCTCAGTAGAGCTGCTCTTGGAAAACTGTTCGTTAAAAGCAAAAGCAAGCACAAGAAAGACCGCAGAGAACTAAACAATTCACTCAAGTGGCTCTTGCAGCACTGAGATGCACTGTTTTAATTTAGTCGTGATGAACGGAAATTTAACATAGTTGCCAGTGCTCACCCAGCTAGAGAAAAGCAGTGACTTCTTTTGTTTTCCAAACTCTATTTAGATTTGCAGCTGCGTTGGGAAGGAGTGGGCAATACTGAAGTGATGTGTCTTGTGGATTTTATATAGCTTTGTTGGTTGTCATCTTTGCTGAAGCTGCTGAACTTGACTCTTTTCCCCTCTGTTTGATTGTTACTTGTTTTCTAAGAGTGCTTCAGCTGATTTCTGATGAACAGGTGAAGAGTTTACCAGGGAGCAGTCCATGTCTTATAGTCATACTAATGTAATATTGTTCAGACGTGCAAATACTTTCATATCCAAAATAGTTTACACCCTGAATTCAGAAATTGAACAAGGACAGTACTTTGACCCAGGGCTGTCTTGCTTGACTAAGAATATGCTTTGTTGAGATTTGTGTTTCCCATTGTGATATTAAATCCTTTGATTTCTTCCAGTGTAAGTCTTTTAAGCATCTTTGTATACTTAAATGTTGACATCGGATAAATGATCCAAATATCCGCTTCAGAATGCAATTTTAATTCCAGTTGATTTGATGTGGATATATTATTCTCTTTTTTCCATCTACAAAAGCAAATTATCCACAGCATGGTATTGAATTATATATTGATTTTTTTTGTCTTTATATTTCTTCTCATGAGTGCTGTTTCACACAACCCAGAAGGATAGCAAGGGCCAGCGGCCACTTCACTAAGGACAAAAATTGCCTTTTACAGTAATCTGAAGGACTGTGGTGAGATGCTGCATGTGAGGTTTGAGAGCCCTTCATTTTGAAACTGCCAGTTCTGCACTATCTCACAGTGCTTCAGATGATGAGGTGCTCTATTAGTATTAGTCTAGGCTTGTTTTCAGTAAAAGAGAAAGAGATTTTCAATGCTGGTCCAATATTACAAATGGATCGGATAATGAGAATGATTTCAGATTCTGAGTCCAACAAACTTGTGCCTCCTGAAATGTCTGTAAAGTTTCTTTTGAACCCCTCCTTACCTTGTATGCAGGTTTGCTTAAGGGCTTTAAATAGGGTACTTGGTTTTCCTACATAGACTGTTAATTGGATATTAGAGCATTTAGTCTTTTAGGCTGCTAGTTGAATTATGGTAATGTGCAAAATGCATCAGCAAAGCCTGCTTGTCTATGCCAATTAAATTTGTTAACTTCAGTCCCGTTCCCAGTGGGCTGGTGCATGTCTAAGGCAAATTCCAACAGCAGTGGCATTAACCATCTCAGCCCAAAACCCATGAAGTGAATAAAAAATGAAAACCAAAGAGCTAAGTGACCCCTGCCATTAAGGCTGAGGAATGAGGAACCATTCGTCTGAGCTGTATTCTTGCGCATGAACAACATGCTGCAGTCTAGAAACCTGGCAAGCTGTCACCCTTCGTTACATTAAACCAACATGAAATAAAACTGAGAAGCCTGAAGTAAGTAGAGCATCCACAGAGAAGGCTTTCCTATGCATAGTAAGAAAGACATGGGTTGAACTACTGGGCCATCTGGCTGAAACAGGAGAGGTCAAGAACTACTTTTAAATCTGAGAGAAGGAAGTCAAGGTATAGAGGAACATGGTGGTGAAAGCAAGCAGGAAAGGTGGTGGATTTGAGAGCTAGCTCAGGAGAGCAGATGTGTAGAACAAGGTGCTTATTAATTCTTTTCAAGTCTGTGTTTCTAATGTTTTTTCTGTGTGTTTGTTTCTCATTGCAGATTGCCTGTTTGGTGCCGGTTGAGCAGTTTCAGTTATACAAGAGGCTGAAGTTTGAACGAGGTGTGAACCTTTTGGTTTCTATTACCTTCCTTTTTAACGTGTCAGTGGAGGCAGCAGAATTACATACTGCAAAGACAAAGCCTGTTGGGCAAGTTAAGGAAGAGACAGAGAAGATAGCTATGTTTTGAAAGAGTTTAAGAGCAATCACTATGCTCCATAGAATTTTTTTTAATCTATTTTTTTATTTTATTTTTGTTTTCTTCTGAAATTATGTCAGTGGAGCGGAATCAACAGACTGGTGCCTTACTGAAATACCACACTTTTACTCAAGCTTGTGGGCAACACCCTCAGATTGCATGCCTGAGGCTCCGTTGTTCTTCTTGCAGCATGCTCATCCCGGGTCTTGTGGTGGTGGTTGTACTGGTAGAACTAGACAAGGTGCTAGAGACTGGTGCAGGATGCACACAGTCCTTTCATACATCCATAGGGATCTTCACAACTCCTGGTGGAGACAGACCCTGCAGTGTGACAGGGGTTATTGCAAAAGCTGCTTGCTCCATGCAAGGAGCTTTTCTTATGCAGAAGCCTCATGTGTGTTCAGCCAGTGTATTTTATTTTTCATGAGAGATAAATGGACTCCTCATTACCGAGTGAGCCTATTAGGAAAGAAGTTTGAAACTGAAAGTCTTACTGGGGCCAAGCTTTCCTACGCCAGAGGCCAGCCTTCTGCTTCAGAAGATGGTTCCTTGCCAAGGCTGAAGAATAAACTTTGCTGGTTAGAAAGATGAGGTCCCACACTGGTTTTAAAGGCTGACACCAACTTGAAAGCCTCATCTGGAAGCCGCAGAGTTTTTCAAAGAACTCACTCCGTGGTGGCTTGCAGGATAGTTTATCTGGGACTGATCTACCCTGACTATGCCTGTTTTCAAACTTTCCTTGAAAGACTGTATTTGCGTTCTTGCTTTACATGCATGCCTTGATGCAAATAGATTGGGAACATGTATAGAAATTCAGAAGTTCATAAAAGTTAGGCACAGTAATGCACTTCAAAAGATGGTCACATGGAAGAATAAGTGGGTTTTTACAGAATCTCATCTGGCATGAGTCACAGGGAATGATCACGAAGTACAGAAACTGCAGTATGCCCCTGAGTTCATAGACAGATGCAGATTGTAGCTGTGATTTGCAGGCAATCAGGCCAAAAAAGAAAAAAAATCCCAAACCCTGCTTTTATTTTATGTTTCCGTCTCCTATTTTATCTTCTTCTTGTTTATCCTTAATTCCTTAGGAAGTCCTTCCAGTTCATAAACCAAGCATTGGCTTGTGTAGAGCCCTTGACAGTGGAAATCAGAGCTTGTTTAATCACCACGTTAAAGCAGTTAAGAAAGAGACATTCTTGCAATGCATTGATCTGCTTTATGTAAAACATTTTGACTGAGGCCTGTGAAAGGAATGATTTCCTGGTATCTCCTCCTCAGTAACTAGCCAAAGCTGAACTCATGATCTTTTGTCCAGCTCCCTGTTACATCTCTATTCTTTTTTTACTGCCTCCCACACACAGAACCCTGAAACTTGTCTGTTTTTAAAATCCTCCTTTTCTTTCTTGCCTAAGTCTGACAATCTTCCTCCACCTCCATTATCTTTCTTCTAAGATCTGTCCTTTCTCCTTTACGATGAGTAAAACTGGCATCCAAGCAGCAGGCTTATACATAGCCTTTTTGCCTTGCCTATTTGTCACAGCAGTAAATCCAGCATACTGATGTCTGGGAATGATTCCTGCCGACTAAAGTTCTGACCTGGACACCGGCCTAATCCCAATCCTGGCTAAGACCTGTTGCCTACCCTGGATTTAGCCCTGCCCTCAAGGCTGACCTTTTTGGACTCATCAGTTGGACTTGGCTTATTAGCTTCTGCTGGCCTGAAGCCTGTTCTCACCTGACCCCAACCTGGCAAGCCTGTCTGCCCTGACCAGTGGCAACACTGGCCTGACAGTCTTCTCTGAAACTAGCCATAAACCTTGCTGATGGCACCTGCTGGAACTGAATTCTGACCCAGAATCTGCCTGGGGACATCCAGCAGTGGAGATGTGTTGTGTGTCTTGTGTCTGTGTCAGCCTTAGTGCAAGCTAGCCCTTTTCAAACCTGGTGCTGCAGAAAACCCAGGCATCTCCTCCCTTAATATAGGCAGGTACTGGGGTATCCTTCATGACTTTTGCTCTTATCAAGAGCCCTTTATTCAAACTCTGCAGCTTCCTATTTTAGACCCTTCTTCTCTCAGCTGTATTCTGTTGAGATATGGGATCTTTGCTTCAGCACCCCCTTTGCTTTACTAGAAATGCTTCTTGGGTAAGTCTTGCTTTACTAGAAATGCTTCTTGTGTAAGTCAAAAGACTTGCTCTGTAGTCTTAGCTTACCAGTCTTCAAGTGATTGGTAAAGCCAATGCTTCTTACCCTTCCGGACATTTTCTATTGTGAGATGAATTTTGGGGAAAATTTTGAAGACCTGGAGAAGGGCTTATATATCCAAAAGCTATTTTTCCCGTCCCCCATTCTGTGCTGGCTGTTTTAATAAGAGAGATTTTCTCTCCATTACCTAATTAAAAAACAAAAAAAAGGGAAATAATATTGGGTAAAAAAGTAGTGAGAAGTAACTGGCATACAATTGTATATCTGTAGACATTTGCTTAGTTTAATAAGGAATGCACTGAAAATATGATACTGTCTTGTGGGTTTTGTGTTCTTAAAATGCAAATGTTTTCAGGCTTAAAAGCAAGCTTTCTTATGTACTGTAACTTCTCTGCATCCAGTCAGGATCTAGCCACAGAGCTTCCATGCAGCATCTTTTAATAGAAGAAACAGGAATTGCTCTATGTCTGTTTAGGAAGGGGATTATGTGGTCATCAGAAGAAATGAAATAGAGGAATAGGATGTGGTTAGAACACATGCCTTATGTTTCTGTTTTTGTGACAGTTGCCCAATAGACTAGGTGGTAGATGATGAGAATATCCATTTCATGCCTGACCAAAAAGTAGTCCATTTTAAAAGGAGGTGTACCTAATATTCTGTGAAAGGCATAGGCTTCATCCTTTCATTGAGTACCTCTCCTGAGCCAGAAGTTCTCCTTTCTTCAGGAGAAAGAACTTCAGCTGTTTTTCCCCTATCTGTCTCCCGCCTGCTTGTGAAAACTGGCCAGATCCCTGCCTGCTATTGGCACTGTTTGGAAAGGCTTTCCTCCTGAGAGAGGAGCAAGTGTGGCTGATCTGGCTCTGGGGAAGCAGGGGAAAGGCTTGGGAGAGAGATGGCCCTAACCAAAAGATGGAGAAGCTTGTCACAGCCATGAGAGAGCCTCCTTCCTTTTTTTTGGCTGCTCCTTTCTATTTTTTTCTGGTTTCACTTTTTGCACCATGGTAAACCGAGCAGTCTGAGACAGCATGGATTGCAAAACACCATCTGTAGGTTCTTTGTAAAATGGAGGAAGTGGGAGAGGAGGGAGTTTCATCTCATTCACTACATCTTGCTGCAACAAATTTGTAAAAATCAGTAAGACTTACAAGCTAACTCCCGTCCTCCCAGTGATGTCAAAACCAGACATCCTATCTTTCATCCAAAAACAGTATAAGAGAAGTTAGGTTTCCAAAGGTATGTTAAACAGCAGCTATCTGTGGGAACTGCACTTTATCTCATTTAACTGCTGTTTATCAACAGCAAGCATACAGAACCTACTGTGTGAAGACTTAAATGCAATAGCCAGTCCTAGACCATGGTCTTGCCTAGTTCAACGTTTCTTTTAAGAGACACCTAGAGAAGCTACAGAAATAGTGATTTCTCAGTCAGGACACTACTTTTTAAAAGTATATAAAAATATAAAATGGCTTGTACTGTCCATCCATGTCTCTCTCTTCCTCTGACAAATGAAGCTGCGAACTATTTTGTTCCGGCTTTCATTCAGTACAAACCAAAATGTTTGGCCTGTGGGGCAAAGGAAGCACATCTAAGAGAATACGAGGAAAGAATGCAACAAGTTCATGAAAAGGCTAGAGGCAGAGGTACAGGTGTTTTGCTGGCATTGCCTACAGATGACATGACTGGGGCATCTGCTAGATATTCATCCACCAGCCCCCTTCGCTGTGGGTTACCAGCAACCTCCTGCAAAAAAGCAGTGCAGGCCAGGCGGGTGTGCATAGAAGGAAGTGCCTTCAACTGTTTGAGCAAAATTTGCCAGAGGACATGTGTCTGGGGCCCTTGTGCAGTCTTTTGTTTCAAGTGGGACAATATTTTATCTGCGGGAGGTACACTGTAATGGCTTTGGCATCTCACAGTCAGGGATTTCCACCTGGTTCTGAGACATCTTCTCCATCTATGTATTTTCAGTGGTGGTACCAGAGAGCTCCCAGGGAAGGAGGAGAGGCAGGTAGCTCCTGCAGGCACAACAGCCCTTTTCTAGGGAGGCTCTGTAGAGTGAGAGTGTTTGGCTGCGCCTCACTGACTTGAGCAGCATAAAGTTGCGCGCAGAGTAGGCACCCCTGACAGTGAATGTGTTTCGGCTGGGCTTCTGCTGCAAGTCCAAATTCCTTGAATAAATGTTGGGGAGTGAGAGGAAGAATCAACACTTATCATTCTTTGCCATGTCTGTAACTCAGCATCTCCACCCCGAGTCTCACGTTGACTATCTTTGTACCTGACAAATAGTGATCATATAATAAAGTGAATATTAATAGGAGATTATAGATAGAGGGGAGGAAATAAAGCATGCAGTGTGACTTAACATTAATTTAATCACAGTCCTGCTGTTTACATGAAAGATACTGCATGGCTTGCACATGTGAAAGACATGGGATGGCCTAATGTCAAAAGATACGTGCTTCTCAGAGAGCAGCAGTTAGGTTAATCTTTTTGTACCTCCCTATAAAGGCAAACAATACATCCTGTGTCGTGTATTTCCATTCTTGTGATGCTTCCAGTGCAACTGCCTTAGCAGAGCACAACTGCAGACCTGCCTAAAGAAGAGGAGTAGGTTTAAACACCCATAGGCATGTGCACAGAGGACTTCAGCTTCCCCACCCACATGCAGAATTGGGTCTTACATACCTGTCACTGGAATGTCACTGGAATGAGAAGGGGACTGAATAAACAGTTTTATTTCTCTCTCTGATACATTTCAGAAGTCCACTTGGACCCCTGGAGAACATGGTGCCCTGCAGTTGATTGCCAAACAGTGTGCCATACTGCACCAAGCGAGTCCGGAGTGCCGGTGCTGGTGGAATGCCCATCCTGCCACCTGAAGTTCTGCTCCTTTTGCAAGGAGGCATGGCACCTACATCACCTGTGCCAGGAAAACCGAACTCCATTGCAAACTGAGCATGGGTAAGAGGGGAACCCACAGAGGCCATGCTGTCTTTTGGTTCTTCATGGCATGGGGTGCTAGCTCTGTGCCTCACATCAGTTTAATGAAATGCCTTCCTTCTAGCTCGTTAGGTGCATCTCTGAAACCTTCCATCTCTCCTGGTGTTTCCTATATATAATTCCAGTCTTAATAATTATTTTAAATGATAATTTTATTTTTTAATACTTAATATCATTTGTGTACTTAAGAAGGTTGGGTTGCCACTGACGCTTCTGAAAGGTGAAGCCCTCCAGGGCACTTTGTTGACATGCTAGAATTATGACTTGTGCCCATACAAAAAATCCAATACACCAAAAATATTCTAGAATATTTTTGCTTATACTGTGATTAAGAAGTCACCCCTGTTTAATATTTATCTGCAGAGACAAATCTTAACTCTTACGCAGAATAAAATGTCCCATTTGGTGTGAGAAATCTGATTTAAGCTCATTTTGCATAGGTGTAAACAACCTACAGATAAAGTTGCATAAGACATTAATCTACAGAAAGAGAGCACTTTTGTGTTTAAATTATATCATGTCTCTGGCCATCTGTCTTTGTCTTTAGAATCAGATGACTTTCAGTCATATGCATTCAAAGTTTTCTATAATCTTTTGCAAAAAATGAAAGACTAAGCATTCTGCTTGCTAGAGACTTCATTGAAAAGGAGTTGCCAGAGAGCTCCTGACATAACTTTTCTTCTCTGGGTTTGATATCTGGCTTTGGTGGAGTTTAAGACTATTTTGTTCAGGCAAGGACTGTTACGAGCTGCATAATCCAGTCTTGTTAAATGAATTGTGCAAGCTGTCTTACAAAAAGTACTGATTTTTAATTCTACAGATGATAGATTTGTGGGTGTAGTGAGTGTTAGTTTTTTGTGTAGTATAAAAGACAAAGGGAATGGAGTTTAACTTTTACGTGATATTAATAATCTTACACCTAGTAGTGAGTATACTTCAACGTACTGCACTGAACATAACAAGCCTCACACATTGAGTGCATTAAAGACAACAACATTAGATGCTCTGGAAGATAAGCACAGTACACATTAGGTAGTGGACCAGAATATCAACAGCAATTACATTCACATTTAACTTTAATGTTTCCTTACTCTTCTAGATCACTTATTGGAACAGAGTCAGAGGCACCAATTAAGCAGTGCCCAGTTTGTCGGATCTACATTGAGCGAAATGAGGGCTGTGCTCAGATGATGTGCAAGAACTGCAAACACACATTTTGCTGGTACTGTCTACAGAACTTGGATGTAAGTGCTGCAGAAAAAAACACCTAGATAAAGGGTAAAGGGGTTGGGGTTAGTCTGAGGACCTGCACAAGCTCTTCATCAATTTATTGATATCTCAGTCAATGTCTTGGCTCAGTTTAGCTCTTGACTTAATTTCTTTCTTCTCGTTCACCCAGTGTTCTTACTTATATGAATATACTTTTTTCCATAAAGGATTATCAACATATCTGTGGGTCCCAAGCTAGTTTTTTTTGCAGGAAATGGGATAGACCGTTTGCTTCCTGGAGATCCATTCCAGCACTACCTTTCTCTGATTGCCTCTTCCAGTGTGTAGCTAAAAACGGTTTGGTTCAGAGCCAGGGTAATAAGTGTCTTCCACCTGCTACAACAACAAAGGTCACAGCCTGTCCAAAAACTGGTATAGTAGTGGGTGAAGGGGGTTGTTTCACTGTAGGGTTTGTTAAGAGCTCATATGGACTAAGTGTCCTTTACTACTCCATTTCTAGTGCTGTGCTTGCTGGAGAGAATGATTGGTTAGTAGATTTGAGCATAAAAATACTGGATTATAAACATGAATTATGAAATGCAGGTTGCTAGTTACTTCTCAAGGGATACCAACTAGTCTCAACCTGTGTTGCTTCAAGTTTCTTAGCAGGATTAAGAGTACAGGAAGTAATGTGCTCATGTATATGGCAGCTTCCCTTCTTGGGACAGATGTCAGAAACAACAGTGAGAGTGTGAAAAGGACTTTACCAGCACTTGAAATAAGATGTTAGGCGCTGCATAACTTTTCTTTGTACTTTGCAGCCAGCAAACAATGAGACTTCCTCATTCTTTTCCCTTCCTTTTCGCAGCATGCTAAACGGGTTTTGCTTAGTGTCAGGTCCTGTTTCTGTGTGTGAGCATGCTTTTTCAACATGATTCTTACCGCTTGCCTCATAGTACATACAGTACACAACAATTGCTTAACACCGTGCTGAACTGAAAGACTGTCAGATCCTCACAGACTCTGCAAATGTGCCCTTATCAAGTTTTCATCCATTCAGAAGAAGGAAGAAGAAAGAAACCGTAGTGTGATTCGAATGTAGTTTTTCTAAATGTGCAGGGTTACAGGAGCTCTGGGCACAGATGAAGGTAATACCTGCAGAGCCAAAGAGTAGGGCTGGCAAATGAAAGAGGAAGCAGAGTTACAGCACAGCTGGCTAAGGGAGTGTAACACAGGGCATTAGTCACTTTCTGAAGAAAAAGATGGATCATTTAATAGGCATCAATGGAAAAAGAACAAGGAAACAGGGATTTCTTTTCTTTTTTTTTTTTTTTTTTTTTTTTTTAATTTTCCTGTTAAGCTTAAGAAGAAAATGACTATAAGGTGTAGGGACAGCAGGAGAACAGAAGGTAGAAGTACCTCAGGAAAATGATTCCTCAGATTGCTAGTTTTCAGAAATATCTGCTATTTACCAGATATTTCTGTTATATATTCTGTTATATATATATACACCCCAGATATTCTGTTAGATATGCTGTTGCCCCTTTATCATCACCAAATTACAGATGAGGTACTTGTGCAGTAGGTGCAATGCATATGCTTATGGTTTTTAAAAGTGGGGGTGAAAAATGCTATAGAGTAGCTCCCCCCCCCCCCCCCCGCCACTTTCTGAAACTGCAAGAAGTTTCTCTAGATAATTGTTTGGAAGAGAGGCGAACTTGTCTGCTGGCAGCTGGTAATTTTAAAGCAGCGTTGGGAAGGTTGTATTTCAAGCCCAGTCTTGAAGCTCTCCCTGCGGTACTGTAACCTGCTCTTACAGCTTCTACTTTTGTTTTTCAGAACGATATCTTCTTACGACATTACGACAGAGGCCCTTGCAGAAACAAGCTGGGCCACTCGCGGGCTTCGGTGATGTGGAACAGAACGCAGGTGCGTTCCTAGTGAGCTGAGCAGAGCTCTCGTGCACGCAGGAAGCACAGCGATTTCACCCCTCAGTGAAGGACAAAGATTATTATTTTCATGGTTTTAGCTATTTTTTTGGTTTTGGATCTCTGCTGTGCTTATGCATGCATAAGTGTATTTTATGTTCTGTGTTAGCTAAAAGCATATTTTTCACCACCATCTCTTTCAGGTTGTGGGAATCCTCGTTGGACTAGGTATAATAGCATTGGTGACCTCTCCCTTGCTGCTCGTGGCGTCTCCATGCATCATCTGCTGCATTTGCAAATCTTACCGGAGCAAAAAGAAGAAACACAGCCCGCCAACAACCTAAAACTCTGTGTCTGTCTGAGCCTCTATCTGCAGAGTGTATTTTTTGTGGGAAAGCACAGTGGTCGTATTTTGGTGCCATACCTGCCAAATAATACTCTTCTATGCCAATTCTTGGGATAAGTGCCTACTCTTTACAGGCTACTCTATCACTAACAAGTCCCAGTGTGGGAAAAGTCTAGATTAATCGTGCAGTACGTATGGTGCAGATTTTTGCTTTCTAAAAGGAAAAAGGGACACCATTCAGTAGTGTGTACCCTTAAATGAGCCAGCTTTTAAGACTGCTAGAACTTTACCATCTTCTGTCAGCTGCACATGACTTGATCCCGCAGTATTACTCTGCCTATGCGGACCCAGTCATTACTCTTATGCTTCCTGTTGGTTCTTGGTGACACTCAGATTTCTCAGAAAGTTTTGGTTATTTCATGAAAGAGGGAGAGGGAAAGCCTGATTAAGTTCTTCTCTCTGTTAGCGTGTGTCTCATTAAAGATAACAAACTGTTAAGAAAGTATTTTTGACAGTTTCCTGTCAATTGGCTGCCATGGCATTTCTTTCAGCATTGAAATCAATTTGATTTATACTATTGAACTCAATTACAGAAGTAAAACCCAACAAAACTATTTCCAACTAAGATAGCACTCTTCTTAGAGACTGGACTACCTTGAGAAAGCTGGTATTTTTTTTAGATACCTTGAAATGTCAAAAGTATGCATATTTCCCCGCCATTGAGCATGCCTTTTGTCAGTAACCTACGAGTAGCAAACTCACCATGAAGCTAATATTTTAAGAAAGGCCATGATACAGTTCCTATTTTGTGCACAGTATTGGAATCTTGGTTGTGCCTGTATAGAGTGGCCGCATGGGCATGGATAGAATATATTTTTTCAACAGTTTACATGAGGCAATAACAAGAACCCTATTAAAAAGTTACACAGACCAGGCTAAGCCAAACCCTCCTTTAAAATGTTATGGCCCTGCTGAAGTGAATGCTTGAGAAATGCTGTGTAAATGTAAGCTCTGTCCATTGGTGGCTATTTCTTCTGTCCCACTCGAGGTTAACAAACTCCGTTTCCGATGATTTGTAGTTGCATTAAGTCTTAAAGGCTGTCATTTAATGAATGCTCCATTTTAATTTGGTGCCTCACCGCCAAACTGATTCAGACTCTGGTATCAGTTACACCTGTGTAAGTTCACTGAAACCTCACTGAAAAGCTGGAGTTACTCCAGGCTCACTCAGGAATAGCTGATACCAGGCTCTGCTCCCTGGAGTTTATTTCCTTAATGGCTGGTGCTCCTCACAACCCTACCTGGTGGTGGCTTTTGTCCTAGACTCCCGTCTGTGCATTTTTTATCTGTGGCAACTGATCTGAGTTTGCAGTGTGTAATCAGTTGTAATTCCAAACCCCTTTCGATAAGGGCTGCAAGGTTTAAATGAGGTACTCAGCCCGGGCGTCGTGTCGGGCTCCCCCTCCACCGGTCTGCCCTCCTTCCTCCAGCCACAGTGTGAGGCACCCGAAGAGTGCTGCAAAGTGCGTCTTTGCTGTTGCGTTTGGCCGAGCCTCAGGAACTTTGCATTCTTGGCAGCCGCAAATGTGACCTTTTTTGTGTTTAACTTTGCTCTCTGGTTACTGTAACAGAAGCGGTAGATGTTCTTATTTTAAGAAAGTGTGGTCTGTTGAGCAGACTAGCAGGGACAGAGGCCTTAAATGATATTGTCTGCTTTACTTTTAATTGATTTCTTTTATAAATACTGTCTGACTTTGCTACCAGCTGTGACTGGAGGGCAGGCAGTGCTCGCCAGTGTGAAAGACTATATTTATTCTCCATCCGCAGCTTCAAAGGGAAGCAGAAAGGTAGTCAGTACATTCTAAATACAGAGTGCAATGCAGGCAACTGCCATTTATAATAAATAGAGAATGTTTTCTGTATGTGTTTTCTTTAAGAGCACTAATGGTAGTGCTTGGGGGTACTTGTGACAGATCAAAGTGTCCAGCCCTTGGCTTTGCACTATTTTTCTACCTACGTTTTTATGGCACTACTGTAATTTCCATTTTATTTATGAACTTGAACTTCAGAGTCTTACTTTAATGAAGCCTCAAGGACAAAGATACAGGAGCTGTACAGTCTCTTTAACCATAACCAGCATTGCAATGCACCAGTATCCTTTGCATGTTAAAATTCATGGGTTATTTATGTTTTATGGTCTTATCTATGTCCAATGCACCCTCTACTAGTCTGGTTTCTTTCTGTGTCCTCTCCCTCTTCCCCTTGGCTTGTTTTTGCTAAGATGCCTAGTGGAATGAAGGTGGCATGTTTTTTTCATTAATACTGCTGTGTTAACGAAACTGCCATGTTCTTCCCTCTGTTAAAGAAACGCAACTGAAGGCAGTTGTCCTACCCAGTATCCACTAATGGACACAAGGTCAACATTTAAATTGAAATACAAATTTGACCTTTTTTGGTTCTGTAAATGTTGTGTGAAGTTAATGCAGATCTCTTTGCAGAGTGGGAATTTAATTGGTTTGAAAGATAATATTTTATAACAGCATTGCACACCTGCATAGCTGTAAAGTCTGGGAAAACAACACTATTTAGTTTATTTTTAACTCTTCTGCTAAAGTGCAGGGTAACTCCTTTCGGAGGCTAATTCCTGCAGGGCAGAAGGAAGGTGTAACTTTTCTGTGTGCACGTTTTATTTCTGGTGCCAGTTTAGGTGCCTGGTAGAGGTACCAAAAGCAGTTGAAATTCAGTATGCAGGTGTTAGCACAACCTGACAGCCAGAGTGCCAGTGCAGACATCTAAGGAGCCTGTGTGGAGATTGGTAGCAGTGGCCTAGGCTTTAGTTGGAGGTCTTTACAGTAAAGCTGGATAAGGAGAGCATGAGCTACAGGCATACCTTCCTTTGGTTGTGTAGATGCAACAAGTTGGCCAAGAATGAAACTGCAGAAATACTTCACAGCTTAAAAGCTTAAAATAGAAGTCTTACAAAGATTATTTTTTTTTTAAAAGGCTGTGTCCAGTGCACCATGTATCCTGGCTTTTCATTGCATAGGGATACATGAGCAGGTACTTTAAGTAGACCCCGACCTGGTCAGCATGTGAGGATGTGCAAACTCTGCTGAGTAGAGCTGTACCTGTGCTCATGTGCTGGGAGCAGTAGGGCCCTGTTGCCTTGTTTTCCAGGAGGCAGCTGTTTTGCACCAACTGGTATTGCTCACAGAGTTTCCAGAGAACCATTTTAGCAGGAACCTTTTTACAGAGTTGGTTTTTGGTTTTGGCTTTTTTGTTTGTTTTTTAACTGTACAAGAAAAATTAAAGTAACTTTATAGAAAATCTATTACAAATATGACAAATAATAGAAATTAGGGAGAAAGAAATAAAAACAGGACTGCATCTATTCGTGACTTTTCTAAATCAGTGTAGCTGTAAATCCACCCTCTTGAATGCCATCTATGTGATGTGGTTGGTGCATGTTAGTACCAGGCTTCACTGCTCTGACCATCTCTCTTCTTTCCCATGTGGCAGTTGGCTGGTATGTAGGTAACATCCAGGGGAGAGCCCAGGACTGAGGCAGGGCAGGGTACTGTGTGGGAGCTGGAATCTATGGCACAAGGCCCACCCTGGCTCCATCACCAATTTGCTCCATCTCTCTGGGGTTTAAGACCATTAACTTTCCATTGACAGGATCCACAGAAGTTTCTCTTGGAGAACAAAAGTGACAACTACTCTGTTCCCTCTGAACCAGGGGCATTCAGCCCTTCTGAAAATTGGGCTCTAGATGTTTAAACATCAGATCTTAGACCAGTGCAACAAATCCAGATTTTTACTGCAACTGGCCACAGGTCTCCATGGCCACATATCTCATTATAATTTCCCAGCAGTCACTGGAGCTATGTCAAATACAGCTGAGGATCCCACTCAGCATCTCATATCCTTATGTTAAAATGAGGATGATGATAATCTGCTCCCAAAATCACCTGCTAATAGAAAGGAAATATTTGTCATGCTGTAGCATAAGTACTTCCCTGAAGTATTTATTCTAGAATCACGGGAGACAGTCAACCCTGCCATTCAATAGTTGATGATCTATTGGTGCATGGGGTTACATACCCCAAAGAAGGGCATGAGGGGTTAACAGTAATTAATCTTTCTACAGTGCTTTATTGATGCTGTGTGCTGTTGACTGTCCAGTAGCACAGCACAAAGTCTGAGGGCAATTTTAAAATTTACATAATTTTTACTTGGATGAACTAAGAGAAATCGGACATGAGCTTCATATTTACTTGAATATATACAAGTGGACAGAAATCAATTGCATTTCCACAGTGGGACAATTAAGTCAACTTTTGGCTGCTCTGTTCTCTGGTACCACAGTGAGTGGTTGTGCTGTAGTGCCCACCACTTAAAATATCTGAAATCTGTTTTGCACTGTAATCTCCTTCTCCCAGTCACTATCATCTTTCTCAGAGTAATTACTTTTATGATGATATTTTTCATCCTCTATCTCAGGCCAAAGATTCTTAGAGTGAAATTAGTATATTTCTTTGTATGAAGATAAAAATCTTCCAAGAATTTTCTCCCAGGTTTTAAATAAGAAACTTGATGCTGAGGTAAATGACCAAAGATAGAAATTCCAGAGTTGGCTTGTTTAGAAAAACTCATTCACACTTAAGAAGTTGTCTTGGAAGACCTAAATAAGGATTGCTTTGTTAGAGCTTATAGGTAAAGGAGACCTGCAGCTTTTGAGCTCCGCAGGAAAGATACTTCTGTTATAAGCAGACTTTTGAAAATGTGCTGGGAAAAAACCTACATCCTATATACGTATTTTTATTATATAAATCAAAAAAGCTTCTCTTGTATGGCTTCATATTTCTAGGGTATACTCATACAGTAAGATAATTTTAAAAATACACTAAAATGGTTGAACAGAGTGTGCTAGTTATAAAACAGTTTTAAGACATCTCTCACACATGAGTGTGTAGGATCAGACTCTAATTTATGTGT